GGATGCTCTACAAAATACAATTAAAAGTAAGCTAATCTCCCGATTGATTGTTGAGTAAGCCTCACACCGCCTTCCTAAATGCATCGCTGCAATGGTGGGATCGCCGAGTAAGAGGGTGGACTGGCCTCACCACCTTTCTAAATGCATCGCTGCAATGGCGAGCAAAGAGGCTGAGAAGCACTCTCAGCAAGCAAAGTGGCCCGCAAGCATCCCAAAAATTGCCTTCTATCATCGACTCCTTGTAAAAGAACAAAGAGACGATGGGAAGAACTTTGATGGTAAAAACTTCGCTGCTGGCCAGAAAATATTTCCTATACCTCCCACACCAAAGGTGACATCAATGTAAATAGTAAAATGGGCGGACTAAACAATCCATTTTCGGATCGGATTGATTGTCAGAATATCAAGCAATGGCAGCAAATTAGTTTCAAAGAAGAAAATGAAGATGAAGATGGAAGATGGAAAATGCGAAGCATTTATAGGGGGTGGAGATGAAGAGATAGAATATGAACAGCCACATTTCTGCCTAGTAAATAGAATTAAATAGCCCAAAGTCTTGGGAAAAGTGGTGAAAATATCAAAAGAAAATGGACAAGATTTTTAGCACAAAGCAGTTAAATGCTTGAAGAATTGACGACTAAAAAAAACAAACGTCAAACAAATGCACAAGAAGTTAATGTTCATTAATGATGAACAAAGTTACAAAGGGAAAAATCAAATTACAAAAGAAAAAAAGACATCATATGTCTTAATTACAGTCCACCCCATACTGAACGAATTCGTTTCCTAAATTTTTCCCAATCCTCGTTCTACCGAGAGGAAGTGATGTTCAATTTGGCCGCGACATCATCATCAACTTCCAACTTCTTATACTGCTCGACCAAGGATTTAGTTCGCTCAATTCCCTGGGAGGCGTTGCGCTTTTTAGCAGCCATTCTCGCCCTACAGTCGTCCATTTTGGCTTGAAATTCCTTCATCTGAGCAGCCAAATTAACCATCAAAGAGTCTTCAACCATGATTTCAGAAGAGATTTCTTTCAACTCGTCCTCAGCCTTGTTAATTTCCATACGCAAAGACTCTTTCTCAGATACAGCTCGAAGATATTGAGTACTTTTGGCCTTTAGTTCAGCATTCTTGGCCAGCAAAGAAAGGACCTCGGAGTGGATGACCTTCAACGTCGCTTTAAAATCGGCAGAAAGATTGAGCGACGAAAGCATCAGTGCTTGCTCTAACTTCGCATTCAAATGCTCAAGTTTATTCTTGTGTCTGGCAGCACTAGCCCTTCCAATGTCCATATCCATGAAGGACACGTACTCAAATATCGACTCCTTGAGAAACTTCAAATCTTCCTCTGAAGAAGCAGCAGGACGATCAGATGGAGCAGAGCGAGACGTCTGGACTTGCCTCCAGGAAGCGAACAAGTTTTAGATAGAATGCACAATCTTGTCAACATCCTGCAAAGAAAGTTGCCAATATTAAAGATTCTCACTACAATGAACAAGATAGAAATAAAAGTGAAGCAAAGATTACCTCATCAACAATCGTGGAAGATGGCATGCCCTCAGCCAAGTCTGCCACCAACGACTCCTCCATTCGTGAGGACTTCCCCTTATCTGAGCGAGACGATGTTGCCACAACGGGCAGACTCATAGGAGTATCTGCAAAACTCAAGAGCAACAAATCAGAAACCAACAGCACAAGCAAAGGTAAGACATCAAAAAAAAAATTGAATTACCTTCTGCTTCGATGTTTGGGGGGTTGACGCCCTGAGAAGAAGGGGATTTATCCATGGGTTGTGATGAGGACTCTGGGACTGAAGATGTCTCTTTAAGCGTAGTCCCCTCATCAACCGGTTTGGATGAAACAGCCTCAGCGGAGGATGATGGAGCAGGAGCTGTCGATGCCAAAGTCTTTGAAGGAGAGGCTGAGCTTTTCTGAGAAGTCCAAAAGATCATCAGCACACAGAAAAGTTTCAAGTAAGGAAAAGTATGCTTGTGAGTAAACCAATTTAATTACCTTCCTCCTGACGATAAGAGGGGCATCATCATCATCATCATCAATATCATCCTCCAGAATGGGAGATGCTGAGGCTGGCTGTTTGCAGCTTGGGGCACTTTTGGCTGTAGTAGGCTTGGCAGGGAGAGAAGAAGATGGATAAGCAGACTGTTTAGTGCGACGAGAAGGAGAAGGACTCCGAATGGACAAGGGAGTGACTAAAATAGGAGGAGGGAAAGAAGTGCTCGGTTGGTCTAGTGAATGAAAGGCACGATTGGCGTCAGTCGCAAATAATCTGCGCTTCACTGACGGACAGAACTGTTCAAAAAGTGGGTGAATGGCGTGGCTAGAATTGAAGGGGGCTAATGAAAAATGGCTGGTTAAAAGAAGATTGCGAGCATTTATAACCTCTACCTCCACCTTATTAATAGTATGAAAACGGTCAATTAAGTTCCTTAAATAGCAAGGAGGAACAGGCCAAGTTTGGGCGAAACCAAGTTGGCGAGCAAAAAATTGGGGAGCATAAATTTCTACCCCCGCCTTAGCATTGGTCCCAGTTAAAATATCATGAAATAGCTCCCTCCCGGTTAAAAACTGGATCCAAATAAGCAGGGAGGTGCTCGCGCTGTCTATAGTGGAGGGGGATGTACATAGTTTGGAGTCAAAAAAGGAGGAAAAGGAAAAAAGGAAGAGATTGAATCCAAAGAATAAAAGAATGAAAAAATGTCCCTTCTGGACATATTTACAGGAGCCAAGAGCTCCATGGCTAGCCCATAACAACTAGCAGAGGAGCGAGAAATTGATGGAGCACCAAGCAATGGAAAATAGGATCTCGACCACAGTTGAGTGAACCAAAGAGGTCCACTGTCAGTGGGAGATGCACCATTCTTCAATTGAGTTTGAAGAGAGGCCATGCCTCTACAAAGGGCAGCCAAAAACAAAGAACATAAATTCAAAAGCTTGCCACACGCCAATTCGTGCGCTATAGGTAAGTAACTCAGGGAGGGCTTTATGCTTGGCACACACAAAATATATTTACAAAGCCAAACTAGAAGGAAGGCCACTCGTTCAATATGGGAAGGCTCGGCGCTCGAATGATTGTGAAGGGTTTGCAGGCTTGAATAAGATTCGGTGTAGTTTTTACCAAACTTTGGGGCGCCACCAAAAACCAAGATGCCAGGAAAAATGGTATCGCCCAAAGGTGGTAAATTCACTAGGGCCCCAACATCCCTTAAAGTAATAGACATGGGGCCAAGAGGGAAAATAAAGGCATTATACTCAGAAGACCAAAAATTCAAAGCAATCGAAAAAAGTGCTGAATCAAAAGTAGGGGGGCGAATAGAGATTTCTAACAAATCAGAAATCCTATCGCTATCAAAAAGTGCCTTAGTAGGACCATGACCCACAAGGCGAGCATGCCACCTACGGAAAGCTACATCAGATTTAGGCCAAGTGCTAATACCTCTTTCGCGAAGTGGCCCCAGCGGCAGAGAGTTGAGAAATGGAGGGCCTTGAATACAAGGAAACAGCTAACCCACCGCCGCCTGTTCAACTGCCTCTGCATTGTTGAAGAAATGACCTAAGTAGAACTCATTGCGTTTAACATCGACGGGCGCGAGAAAACTCGGAGTTATGTATGAACGACTCAGGAGTTTCTGAAAGTCATCAAAACTAAAAGAATTGCCAACTTGAGATTGTGAAGTAGCCATTTGAGATGGAACGAAATTTTTCAGGGTTACGTAGCAGGGAAGCAAAAGATGAACAGTAAATCGTGAGAGAGACGCGAAAAATTTGAGGCGTGAGTTAGTGATACAGTGAAATATCGTGTTTGGGGGTTATAAGGGTTTGCAAAACGACGCACCTTTTCAAGTTATAGAAGAAAACAATGATTGAAACTCTTGGAAATTTCGAATGTTGCTGGAAACACAAAGTGAATATGGCAAAATTTAATAATTATTATTAATTCTGCCATATTGGGGGGTAATTGTTGACACATAAAAATTCAGCTCAAATCGAATGGTCCAAGGAGTGAAGCCCAATTGGAGGATCCCTAAATCAGATAGCCTAAAGAACGAAGCCCAATCAAACAAATCAAGACGAAGGCCCAAATAGGGAGGCCCAAGAACGCGGTAACGCCATCGCCCAAGCTTGTAAGTCGCCCAAAATTTGAGCGAATGGAGTGCCATACAGTCGCCCAGAGCTGTTACTCTATTCTCGCCCAAACCTTCAAGTCGCCCAAGGTCTTAACAAACATAAAGCGTCGTGGTTATCAAGAAGTGCAGTTATCAAAGCAGTTATTAAAGCAGCTCTATCACGTTCCACGATTCAAGGAATTCAATCAAAAGCGGTTGAACGATGAGGAGTAATGGCAGCAGTTAAAAAAGGTAGTTTTCATGACAAGTTGGCCATTACGAGGAAAGTGGGCAGTTATAGGACGATCAAGCAGTTTTTAGGTGGTTGATCACAAAGAGATCGTCTATGAAGTATAAAAGAGAGAAAAGACATAGAGCAATGGACCGAATGAAAAACTCTCGAACAGAGAACATGTAATTTTAATTTCCTTAACTTAGACTTAAACACTTTTTTTAGTAACTCGTGTGCTTGCGCCCTTTGGAGGCACTTTGTTTTTAATTTCCAATTGTAAAATTATCGCCAATAAAAGAACACCCCTTTTTGAGACTTTGTCTCAAGAGATTTGTCCCTTACACAATCGTCTGATCCTTTTTAATTGTTAGCGACTAACCCGCGCGGAACATTTCTTCCACGAGACAAATGATTTAGCAAAAGGTTCGTCAGTACAATACATAGACGTTTTTAAAAAGTAATTCTTTTAACAATTTATATTTATTAAAACTTTTGAGCATATAAATTAAAATTAGTTTGCTGAATACAATTTAAACATAATAATACATATATAAATTCTTTAAGATCAGCCTGCCGGGCCAAATACGGGCCTTCTAAGCCCGTTCCGCGTTTACAAGTCAATTGTAAAAGGCAAATTGCATTGACGCAGGACGTAAAGACAGAACCTTGACATCAGGCTTTTAGGGAAAATAGCTCCAGACGCCTCAAACTATTCAATCTCTTCTCAAGGACAGAGTATGATTTTTTTTTTTAATGAATCTCTGAATTTTAATTTAAAAAAAAAATAAATCATGCAAAACTGTGTGAATTGTATTATGTTTCGACCCTTCGTCTTTCTTTCTTATCCCAATTTTTCATTTCTTTTATGCTCATATGAGGAAATCAACAGGAATTTTTCGAATCTCGATGTTTTCGCATTTTTTAATTGTGGGTTGATTCGTTTCGATGTTATGATCGGAGATCTTGATCCTATACCTTTATGTACGCAATTTCTTGTATACTGATTTCAATGTCCTGATTCAGTTATAATTTCTTGCTTTTGGTTTAAGTTTTTGGGTCTACAACCTAAAAAAATCATGTGTTTTTATATAAAGATCTTGCATGGTACCTTTTGTTTCGAAATCAATCGTATGTAGGATTATTTTGTTTATAATTTTTTCAACCAGTGAAATTTTCGTCTGGTTTTGTTCTTTAGCATAATAAGTCGGCAAATTTATATAATTGGGTATGGTTATGACATCAGTGTCGTATTTTCTTGCTTACATTCAGAAAATTGTGTATGCCAAATATAGGCATTCTTTAGTTTGTAAACCTTAAGATCGTTATCATTGAACTATAATTTGTTTCATATTCATATGTCTTTCTTATTTAGATAAATTTAAAAAAAATTTTCTTTTTTTTAATTTTTTAATTTTTTTGGTATGATACTTTCCTATGAAGTATTTAGTTTTTGGGGTGTAGGCAGTAGATATTTGTTTGATAATCATATATAGTGAAAAGTAAGGTTAGCCAAAAATGAGGTAGAATAGCGAGATTACATCATTGAACTTCTGCCTTGTTTATTATGTTTTGTTTGGAAAAGATGGACATTAAATTTATATGTGTAGAAAGCAGTTCTTTTAAATTGTTGTCATTGGTTTCTTATTTATAATTTATGTCTGTTTTCTTGAAATACTTGCTAATTATGTTTTACTACTGCAGCTTACTATGATTAGAAGATATTGAATTCTACATTTATGCTCCAAGGGTTGCATAGAACATATATAACAGAGTAAATAAAACAAGAGAGAAATGTTTTCTCTATTTTATGGACTGTGGAAGTATGCCTTCAGCAAGACAGAGTTTCATGTTCTCATTCTCGGAATCGACAAGGCTGGAAAAACGGTAACATGCTCCAGTATTATTCGTTTTCTGCAAACACAAGGTTTTCCAGGATTGTTATTCTCATCTACATCAATCGATGGATGAGTTGATACTTGAATATAGAACAATCTATGGAATTATGATGTCAAACCCCCTCACCCCTCCACATTCTTGCTTCGTATCCACAGAGACATGCCATCTTGTCTTTTGTAAAAGTATATAAGCTCTGCATGTTGCCTGTTTGTAGTCAACTCTAATATCTGTAATTGTTTTAAACTCATTTTGAATGTAAATTTGCAGACAGTACTGGAGAAATTGAAGTCACAATATTGTAATGTGGAAGGGCTTCCTGCTGATCGAATTGTTCCAACTGTAGGACTCAACATTGGTCGAGTTGAATTGTCAAACACAAAACTTATATTCTGGGACCTGGGAGGTCAGGTTCGAAACGCGTTCTTATCTTGTTATTTGATTGATTTTCCCTTGACGAGGTATAATCTTTTAACTGCTTTTAATTTACCTTCAGAATGATGAGACTTATTACTGGTTTTCTTCTTTCTTGATGTTTCAATTTTGACGGATGACAACTAGATTTAATTTTCTAAGTATTAGTTTTGACTAGATTTTAAGTACTGAATTCAGCTGTTATTTCATAGACAAACTTCTTAGCATGTCTCTTTATTTATGTTTACTTCATCCTGAGAGTTCTACCACTGATGGAAAGTATTATGTTTCATCAGCCTGGACTTCGCTCAATTTGGGAGAAATATTATGAAGAGGCACATGCGGTGATTTATGTAGTTGATGCGGCTAGCCCTTCTCGTTTTGAAGATTCAAAATCTGCACTCGGTAAGCATTGCTAGGGAGAAGTGTATGTTGACTTGACTGATGATGATTCATGTTACAATTGTGGTCTTTTTAATTGATTTTGTGACCTGTTTCTGACCTTATTTTCAATATGATGTTCAGAGAAGGTTCTTCAGCATGAGGATTTGCAAGGAGCCCCACTTTTGATAATAGCAAACAAACAGGTAAGCTGTTCCTTCTGTCACCCACTAAGTTAGCAACTTAGCATTGACCTAAAGCAAATGAATTGTGAAGGAAAATCTACTTTACTTTTCCCCTTTTGCGTTTTTCCAATGTGCATTGTGAGAGAGCATAGATTCTATTGCCCAATATTGATTGTGATAGACTTCTTGCATCTTTCTAGTTGATGTTTCTATTATCAATCAAATTGTGTCATTCTATGAAACAGAACCGATGCGTATGAAACATCAATACTCCTTGTAGACTTGAGGATTGTTCGATACACCACGTAGGCTGTTCTACTTTTTTCAGTTTGTACCATGGATACTTTAATGACATACAGCCACCATTCTACATTGTTTGTACTATATTTTTAGGCTCTTTTACTTTCTGGCAGTGAGGCACATTTCCTCAACAAGACAAGCCCAATTTTGTTGATTTTAGAATATAAAAGTAGGAAATATTTTATTTTATTAAATAATTTGTATAAAATAATAAACAGAATGCAAAGGAAAAAAATTGTATGAGGTTCGTGTTTTATCTATTTATATCTACTATTGCAATTATTTAATACAGTCTTACTAGAGATTTTAAGTACTACAAATAGTCACTCGTGATCAAAAGGTTAAAAATCGAAACTGAGCAAAAGTTTTTTTTCCCCATTTAAATAAAAAAAGAAATAAAATGTAAATATAATATATTTAACTGTAATATTTTCATAAACGTGTCTCCAAGCATCTACTTCCTACTTGAAAATTTTGCATCGGTATATCCGTGTCTGCAGCCAGCACATGTTATTCGATAGTTGCTCTCATTAGCTTGGAAGATCCACCTCTGTTTCTGGCACCACTTTGCAAAGTGGAAAACTATAGAAACTTGAAAATTATCATCATATTTGCATCTAACCTAACAAATTGTGAGTGCAAAAGTGAAAGACATTGCTCCACTTCGATGACTACATATTTATTTTCAGGATCGTGCAGAAGCTGCATCCGCAGAAGAACTTTCTCGGTATCTGGACCTCAAAAAATTGGATGAGAGACTTTACACATTTCAAGCTGTTTCAGCAATTGATGGGTAAGTAAAAAACCTCTTGATTCTGATTATTAGTGGAGTATTTTTAATGACCTATGACTTCTGATGTTGAAATAGTTTGAATCTTAAAAATAATCTGGAATTCATTATGCTTTAGACCTTTTTTTTTTTTTTTTTTTTTTTTCATCTTTTTGGTAATGTTAAGATAGAAAACTGTCTTACAGATTTTCTATTATTTACGAACTAAACCGGTTTAAATTTGTGGACAAAGATCGTCTTCTTAGTTCTCACTGCATCATGAGGACCGGTTCTTTCCTGTTTGGGGTATAGGTCGGCTAATTAAGGTATGAAAGTAGAACAAGTTTAATTAACCTTAGTCGAGATTTGCAAGTCCAAGCTTAATAAAAATTATTAAAACCAAAAACGCCAAATAGTAGCAAATTGCCACCATAAATTTGTCAAATAGTTGCAAATTGCCACCATAAATTTGTTCTTTCCAGAAGGACAATATTATGTAAAATCCCCCCAAGAAATAACGACATAACAACATTATTATTTAAGGATTATGCTTGTTGTACATTGGAAACTACATTCGGGTGTCCATAATGGACAACTGGCGCCTCTTCATTGGCCGAGGTGCCTGTGGACCCTTACGTGGCAAGCACCTCGGCCAATGTCGAGGTGCCGGGTGTTCATTATAAACACCTTTATGTAGTCCCCAATGTTCATGTAGCAAAGTCCATTATTTAATACAACAAACTGGATGTTCAATAAGTTCAATTATACAAGGTGTATCTTACTCTAAAGACGAACATCTATAAATGCAGGCAGCCAAATATTGTGATCTACTAACACCTCCACGAATAATGGCTCGCCCCTTGACGAAAATCACTCTTTCTTATCCGCATCAACATTGGGCACGGCTTCCACAATTTCCGGACTCTTTCTTATCCGCATCAACATTGGGCACGGCTTCCACAATTTCCGGGACAGAACTTACTGACTGAGCATCTTCTGTCGGCTTAGCAGAATCGATTTCAGGACCATCAGTCACTTGTATGCTCGACTTGACAGTTCCAACCTTGACGTATTTGCTCATGAACTTGTACTCCCAATCTTGCAAGGCCTCGAGCTCAAATGCACCAAGGCCAGTAAGATCGCCATTAAGATCATTTTTTTCAAAGGACATCTTTGCAAGAGCTCGACTCGCATCTTTTCCGGCAAACAAAGCATAAGGTCCTCCTGGTCCATAAAACAACCTGTAACCCAACAAATGATCTTATGTGTTGAAATTTCAGTTACTTTAACCTCAATACATCTGAAAATGATCTTGATAAAATCCAGATATACCTGCTCTGTGAAACATCATAGATCTGACCCTTGATAGCCATGAGCAAAGGTTTACTTTTATCAGACCCATCATACTGCTTCAACTCCTCATCAGCGATATCCCCAAGCTGAACCGGAGGAGGGAGAGGCTGCACCTTCTCTTCGGGTTCTTTGGACCTTTCTTGGTAAGACCCCGGCCCATCATCGGAGGACCCAAATAGATTTGAGACCATGTAGTAAAGGGTAAGCCCCAAAGAAAGAACTGAAAAGAAAGTGGACGGAGATAGACCTGTGTATGCTGTTATCGATTCCTTGAGGGCCTCCCATAATTGCAGGGCCATTGTTTCAGTGGTTGAGCCTGAGCGAGAAGAACTGGGAGGTGATGGTGCATTATATAATTTGTAAATACTCAAAAGTCCAGTCACCTTTTTGGAATATTTTTCTCCATTATTGAATTCAAATGTATAGCCATGGACGATCAACTACTCCTTTGTTTAAAGAAACTTGTGTGGCTGACTATACATAATATTTTATTAGAGAAAAAATCTCGGTTGGAGTCTTCACACATGAATAAGATCACCTAAATGTGACAGCAGAGTCCCACCTGACAAAAAACGTGCACATTTATGAAAGTTGGGGGCACATTTATGAAAGTTGGGGGCCAGGTGCTCTATTTAGTTGGTGGAGAACATACTTGCACCATTTATCAGAGTTTAGGGACCTCAAATGAAAATTTTCTAATAAAATATAATGCATCTAAAGTCTCTATGCAAATTAGTAACACTTCTGATACACAATAAATAACAGGAAAATCTTAGAGTCAAAGAATGAGCAATGTTAGTATCGGTCAAATTAAGCAACCCTAATAAAAGTTATAACAGAGTAAATAAAACAAGAGAGAAATGTTTTCTCTATTTTATGGACTGTGGAAGTATGCCTTCAGCAAGACAGAGTTTCATGTTCTCATTCTCGGAATCGACAAGGCTGGAAAAACGGTAACATGCTCCAGTATTATTCGTTTTCTGCAAACACAAGGTTTTCCAGGATTGTTATTCTCATCTACATCAATCGATGGATGAGTTGATACTTGAATATAGAACAATCTATGGAATTATGATGTCAAACCCCCTCACCCCTCCACATTCTTGCTTCGTATCCACAGAGACATGCCATCTTGTCTTTTGTAAAAGTATATAAGCTCTGCATGTTGCCTGTTTGTAGTCAACTCTAATATCTGTAATTGTTTTAAACTCATTTGGAATGTAAATTTGCAGACAGTACTGGAGAAATTGAAGTCACAATATTGTAATGTGGAAGGGCTTCCTGCTGATCGAATTGTTCCAACTGTAGGACTCAACATTGGTCGAGTTGAATTGTCAAACACAAAACTTATGTTCTGGGACCTGGGAGGTCAGGTTCGAAACGCGTTCTTATCTTGTTATTTGATTGATTTTCCCTTGACGAGGTATAATCTTTTAACTGCTTTTAATTTACCTTCAGAATGATGAGACTTATTACTGGTTTTCTTCTTTCTTGATGTTTCAATTTTGACGGATGACAACTAGATTTAATTTTCTAAGTATTAGTTTTGACTAGATTTTAAGTACTGAATTCAGCTGTTATTTCATAGACAAACTTCTTAGCATGTCTCTTTATTTATGTTTACTTCATCCTGAGAGTTCTACCACTGATGGAAAGTATTATGTTTCATCAGCCTGGACTTCGCTCAATTTGGGAGAAATATTATGAAGAGGCACATGCGGTGATTTATGTAGTTGATGCGGCTAGCCCTTCTCGTTTTGAAGATTCAAAATCTGCACTCGGTAAGCATTGCTAGGGAGAAGTGTATGTTGACTTGACTGATGATGATTCATGTTACAATTGTGGTCTTTTTAATTGATTTTGTGACCTGTTTCTGACCTTATTTTCAATATGATGTTCAGAGAAGGTTCTTCAGCATGAGGATTTGCAAGGAGCCCCACTTTTGATAATAGCAAACAAACAGGTAAGCTGTTCCTTCTGTCACCCACTAAGTTAGCAACTTAGCATTGACCTAAAGCAAATGAATTGTGAAGGAAAATCTACTTTACTTTTCCCCTTTTGCGTTTTTCCAATGTGCATTGTGAGAGAGCATAGATTCTATTGCCCAATATTGATTGTGATAGACTTCTTGCATCTTTCTAGTTGATGTTTCTATTATCAATCAAATTGTGTCATTCTATGAAACAGAACCGATGCGTATGAAACATCAATACTCCTTGTAGACTTGAGGATTGTTCGATACACCACGTAGGCTGTTCTACTTTTTTCAGTTTGTACCATGGATACTTTAATGACATACAGCCACCATTCTACATTGTTTGTACTATATTTTTAGGCTCTTTTACTTTCTGGCAGTGAGGCACATTTCCTCAACAAGACAAGCCCAATTTTGTTGATTTTAGAATATAAAAGTAGGAAATATTTTATTTTATTAAATAATTTGTATAAAATAATAAACAGAATGCAAAGGAAAAAAATTGTATGAGGTTCGTGTTTTATCTATTTATATCTACTATTGCAATTATTTAATACAGTCTTACTAGAGATTTTAAGTACTACAAATAGTCACTCGTGATCAAAAGGTTAAAAATCGAAACTGAGCAAAAGTTTTTTTTCCCCATTTAAATAAAAAAAGAAATAAAATGTAAATATAATATATTTAACTGTAATATTTTCATAAACGTGTCTCCAAGCATCTACTTCCTACTTGAAAATTTTGCATCGGTATATCCGTGTCTGCAGCCAGCACATGTTATTCGATAGTTGCTCTCATTAGCTTGGAAGATCCACCTCTGTTTCTGGCACCACTTTGCAAAGTGGAAAACTATAGAAACTTGAAAATTATCATCATATTTGCATCTAACCTAACAAATTGTGAGTGCAAAAGTGAAAATTATCATCATATTTGCATCTAACCTAACAAATTGTGAGTGCAAAAGTGAAAGACATTGCTCCACTTCGATGACTACATATTTATTTTCAGGATCGTGCAGAAGCTGCATCCGCAGAAGAACTTTCTCGGTATCTGGACCTCAAAAAATTGGATGAGAGACTTTACACATTTCAAGCTGTTTCAGCAATTGATGGGTAAGTAAAAAACCTCTTGATTCTGATTATTAGTGGAGTATTTTTAATGACCTATGACTTCTGATGTTGAAATAGTTTGAATCTTAAAAATAATCTGGAATTCATTATGCTTTAGACCTTTTTTTTTTTTTTTTTTTTTTTTCATCTTTTGGGTAGAAGCTTGAAGATATTAGAAGTTGAAATTTGTCTGCAGGCTGGGGATTAAAGAAAGTGTAAATTGGCTTGTCGACGCTATGGAGAGAAGCAAGAGAACAGAAATGTTGAGAGTTCGTGCAGGATCTAGTTCTGTTTGAAAGTATTCATTTCTTGTTTACTTTTGTTTGTAAATCAGTATTCATTTGGTTCCTACATGATGTGCTGTTGGACATGTATGGACTCATTAAGTAGTTAACATGTAGCAGCTTCCTTTCTATAATGTTGTATAAATTTACCTGGAAATTTATTCCATTCTCAATTATCATGAAGAAAATGTGACATTTGTCCATGAGATTTGTGCTGGATGAATATAGTGTAAGCTGTATATCTTGATCAAGGCCATAAACACTGGATGGGTATCATTTATAGCATGTAAGCTATGCTTTTGATTGGATGAGAATGGACATGATCAAGAAAGAGAGACCTGAGATACAACTAAACCGGTTTAAATTTGTGGACAAAGATCGTCTTCTTAGTTCTCACTGCATCATGAGGACCGGTTCTTTCCTGTTTGGGGTATAGGTCGGCTAATTAAGGTATGAAAGTAGAACAAGTTTAATTAACCTTAGTCGAGATTTGCAAGTCCAAGCTTAATAAAAATTATTAAAACCAAAAACGCCAAATAGTAGCAAATTGCCACCATAAATTTGTCAAATAGTTGCAAATTGCCACCATAAATTTGTTCTTTCCAGAAGGACAATATTATGTAAAATCCCCCCAAGAAATAACGACATAACAACATTATTATTTAAGGATTATGCTTGTTGTACATTGGAAACTACATTCGGGTGTCCATAATGGACAACTGGCGCCTCTTCATTGGCCGAGGTGCCTGTGGACCCTTACGTGGCAAGCACCTCGGCCAATGTCGAGGTGCCGGGTGTTCATTATAAACACCTTTATGTAGTCCCCAATGTTCATGTAGCAAAGTCCATTATTTAATACAACAAACTGGATGTTCAATAAGTTCAATTATACAAGGTGTATCTTACTCTAAAGACGAACATCTATAAATGCAGGCAGCCAAATATTGTGATCTACTAACACCTCCACGAATAATGGCTCGCCCCTTGACGAAAATCACTCTTTCTTATCCGCATCAACATTGGGCACGGCTTCCACAATTTCCGGGACAGAACTTACTGACTGAGCATCTTCTGTCGGCTTAGCAGAATCGATTTCAGGACCATCAGTCACTTGTATGCTCGACTTGACAGTTCCAACCTTGACGTATTTGCTCATGAACTTGTACTCCCAATCTTGCAAGGCCTCGAGCTCAAATGCACCAAGGCCAGTAAGATCGCCATTAAGATCATTTTTTTCAAAGGACATCTTTGCAAGAGCTCGACTAGCATCTTTTCCGGCAAACAACATTAAGATCATTTTTTTCAAAGGACATCTTTGCAAGAGCTCGACTAGCATCTTTTCCGGCAAACAAAGCATAAGGTCCACCTGGTCCATAAAACAACCTGTAACCCAACAAATGATCTTATGTGTTGAAATTTCAGTTACAATAACCTCAATACATCTGAAAATGATCTTGATAAAATCCAGATATACCTGCTCTGTGAAACATCATAGATCTGACCCTTGATAGCCATGAGCAAAGGTTTACTTTTATCAGACCCATCATACTGCTTCAACTCCTCATCAGCGATATCCCCAAGCTGAACCGGAGGAGGGAGAGGCTGCACCTTCTCTTCGGGTTCTTTGGACCTTTCTTGGTAAGACCCCGGCCCATCATCGGAGGACCCAAATAGATTTGAGACCATGTAGTAAAGGGTAAGCCCCAAACAAAGAACTGAAAAGAAAGTGGACGGAGATAGACCTGTGTATGCTGTTATCGATTCCTTGAGGGCCTCCCATAATTGCAGGGCCATTGTTTCAGTGGTTGAGCCTGAGCGAGAAGAACTGGGAGGTGATGGTGCATTATATAATTTGTAAATACTCAAAAGTCCAGTTACCTTTTTGGAATATTTTTCGCCATTATTGAATTCAAATGTATAGCCATGGACGATCAACTACTCCTTTGTTTAAAGAAACTTGTGTGGCTGACTATACATAATATTTTATTAGAGAAAAAATCTCGGTTGGAGTCTTCACACATGAATAAGATCACCTAAATGTGACAGCAGAGTCCCACCTGACAAAAAACGTGCACATTTATGAAAGTTGGGGGCACATTTATGAAAGTTGGGGGCCAGGTGCTCTATTTAGTTGGTGGAGAACATACTTGCACCATTTATCAGAGTTTAGGGACCTCAAATGAAAATTTTCTAATAAAATATAATGCATCTAAAGTCTCTATGCAAATTAGTAACACTTCTGATACATGTTATTCGATAGTTGCTCTCATTAGCTTGGAAGATCCACCTCTGTTTCTGGCACCACTTTGCAAAGTGGAAAACTATAGAAACTTGAAAATTATCATCATATTTGCATCTAACCTAACAAATTGTGAGTGCAATGTGGCTGACTATACATAATATTTTATTAGAGAAAAAATCTCGGTTGGAGTCTTCACACATGAATAAGATCACCTAAATGTGACAGCAGAGTCCCACCTGACAAAAAACGTGCACATTTATGAAAGTTGGGGGCACATTTATGAAAGTTGGGGGCCAGGTGCTCTATTTAGTTGGTGGAGAACATACTTGCACCATTTATCAGAGTTTAGGGACCTCAAATGAAAATTTTCTAATAAAATATAATGCATCTAAAGTCTCTATGCAAATTAGTAACACTTCTGATACACAATAAATAACAGGAAAATCTTAGAGTCAAAGAATGAGCAATGTTAGTATCGGTCAAATTAAGCAACCCTAATAAAAGTTATTATCATCAAGAAATAGGACACTTACGACTGAGATTCATAAGGAGCTTCCTTTATTTGACTAAACAAAATAAAATCAAGATCTAATATCGACAATATTAAACTAGTCTTTGTTCTTACATTTCTATTATTTCATTTGTCATCAGTAGTAAAAATTATCCACACTTTCGTCAAACTATCACGTGTCCCACTTCAATTTCTTGAAAACATCAAAGTTTAGAAGTAAAATTTAATGTCATCAAGTTAAATATACGAGAACTTATGACTAGTTTAATAGTGATTTATAATATTTTCGATATTAGAGTTGTGCAACTATTATAAAATGTTAAAGACCAACTTGGTCTCAATTCTCTCTTTCTATAAAGATCAAAAAATACTTGCTAGTGAAAAACTAAATTATAGACTCAATAATGCAATTCTTCAGAATGAACAAACATAGGCTACGTAGGAAATTCATAAAACAAAATTGAAACAGAGCATCTACACACTTAAGCATGTTTGCCTATATTTAACTTTTCTAAATTGAGACATAAATAGAGTAAGCTTTATTAGTAAATATATAATCTCATGGAGGAATTTGAACCCTCGATACCGTGGTTCATAGTCACACACTCTAATTTTCTGAGCTATAGGCAATATCGAAAGTTCAAGGAAATTTGTGACTTGATGATAGGAGAGCTCGCGATTGAATTGTTAAAACAAAATAAGCCTCTGTTTGGTCCCCTTTAAAACTCATCAATTTAATTTAAAATTTTTGCTCTTCTATTTTTAACCACATAATTTTTAATAAAATAATATTTTACGCAAATCGAAAACTTTTCATTGTTTTACAATCATTTATGTTTTAAAAAATACTATTTCCCGAATTATAAATCCAAATAATGGGGGCCAAACAGGGACTTAATTAACTAACTTTTTTGTATGATTGCTCGGCCGAAAAGTACAAAACAAAAATGAAAAAAGAAACAGGATCCGAGTACTAATGTCCTGTTTGGGCCCGATTTTTTCATCCAAAAAATTGATTTTTTGACCGTTATTTTACTATTCCACTTCTTCTCTCACAGGTGGACCCCACTTTTTTCCTAACTGCCAAAAAATCAATTCTCAAAATCACTCCCAAACAGACATTAAATGAAATGCCAATCACCCAAAATTTTCAAGGGGAATTTGGCCAGATAGTCGGAATGGGTAAAGAATTTGGATAAATGGCATTTGACCATTATAAAAATAAAAAATAAAAAAAAAATTTCAAAATATTTTAATTGACAAACCGGCGAAATTGCCCTTCAATTATTGATTCATTAATCACCAAATTTGTCTCATTTCACTCGTCATTTCTCCTTCAACTTCACTAAAAAGCCCTATTCTTCATTTTTGAAATTAAATTAGCATTGTCATCCTCTTTGCCTTTTCATCATCTTCAATCCAATAAAACTTCGAAGATTCGAAATTTGTACATCGATGGCTTCTTCAACGACAAAATTATTGGCGTTGATGTTAGTATTGAAATCAACTGTAAATGCCTACAGAAACATACCCGCCGCTGTCGCTGTATTGCAAGCTCTACGAGGATTATCTACGGTATCCAAACTCTGCTCGCGAGCCACCGCCCCCAATCCCAGGCAATTATGTTCTCTACGGTTCAAATTACACAAACCTTAATTATCAATTTTTATTTGTATTTTTTGTGTTATGCTTTTGTATGTAAGTTTCTTAATGAAAGTTAGCTTTCTTATACTGGATCTGTGAAGTAGCATTCCAATATGGTGATAGTCAAAAGGGTCATTTTAATTTTTCACCAAGTTATCTTTTTATTAGTTATGGGTTTGAATTGAGGATGACGTTGAATAAATAATGGTGAAGGAAAGAAAGAAATTGGTCGATACTAATTAAGCAATTTCATTTTTGAATTTTGATCCTTTAGGAGATGTTAATAATTTTTTCATGATTGTCATGTATTCGAAATATTTCAATTAAAATCTGGTAGCATATGTAAGCTAGTTCTCTATATATATTTATTGCTCTGAAACTAAATAAGTCAATCCTCATTGTCAAAATTCAGTTGCCAAAAGTTTATTTATGCTCTTTTGAGTTATGTAAAAGGATAACCTTGTTTTAAACTTTTTATGCAGATTGATAATGTGCTTCCTACTCTATTAGAGGAGGGCGTCCATCAATCATATCCAAAAGGGCAAAATGTTGGTATGATTTGCATATTGCTTCACTTTTTTACAATGGTTTTGAATGTGAAGGATATTGAATCAGCCACTATACCACTTTATTGCCATCAGTAGGCATTTTAGTATCAAATTTTCAAGCTGTATTTTGACCTTTTGCTTTGCTGCTATTTGATGATCATTTGTACCTGTGGAGGTTTAATACATTCGAGCATGCACATTTTTCTTCATTTATGCTTGGAGTTTGTAAGTTATTCTTTCGGTTTCATCAAACAGCAAGTTCTCAAGATGCAATTGGCTTCCATATAGCTGTGGTTTTCACTACTTCTGTAGATTATTGAAAAGTAATCTATTGTCGAACTATATAGTATTTTCCTTACTCTTTTAGGGGCTGCTGATTGGATAGGCAATATAGAAGTTTTGTAATTCTTGATGGATACGCTTATCCATCATATTGAAGGTCTCACTGTATTTACATTGCATGTGTTTTCATGACCAATTGTTTGACATGTTGCATTGATGCTATGACTTTGACGGAATTTGTGCAAGCTCAGTTCAATATAAATTTGTGCAAGCTTTGTATCACGTGATCTACTTTTCTTGCGTACTTTAGGGATCCAATGCTTGAAGATTAAAGGTCACTGAAAATGAAACTTGCGTCATTACTGAGATGAAAAGTTTTAAGAGAACGGCACAAGTGCTGTTTAGAGAATGAAAAAGTAACTGAGAACGACACTTGTGTCGTTATTTTGATAAAAAGTTCAAAAAGAACGACACAAGTGCCGTTATCGAAATGTAACTTGTTCACGAGAACGGCACTTGTGTCGTTTCTGTAAAGAAAATGATACTTATGTCATTCTGTCTACAAACACGAGTATAAGCAGTCTACAAATACGAATATAAGTAGCCACGATCCATCTATTTCCCGAGAGCCAATAAGCTGAACTCATGTCAGTTGCAAGATGGAAATGCCGTTTTCAAAAGTTGAGAGATATGCTCATTATATTTCCCGAGAGCCACTAGTGTTGTTACTGTTCTGGAAACAGCACAAGCGTCGTTACTTATGTAAATACGATATGAATAATTGATAACTTGTATATTTAAAAATAAATTGTTATTAGATCAATAATATTTAATTTTTGAACACCATTTCTATATTTTCTAGGTAAAATACTAAAAAGGGCACTAGTGATATTTTGTTATAACAAAAAATAAATATCTGTCGTTATGGTTTAATCGATTCAAGTATATATTAAAATAATATGAAAATAATTACCATATTTAAATTATCAAAATAATTACAATATATTATCAATAATACACCAACCATAACAGATAATGTTTGTACTGTCGTTTTACATGGAGGATAACGACTGGAGTGTCGTTATCGTCCAATAGTTGTGGACGGTGCAAATATATACCAAATGAGAAAATAAAATCAACTAAAATATCATTTTATATTATATTCAATAATAAAAGTGCTAATGTAAATGAGATTTCTAAGTTACATTTCTTTTTTATTTAAATATAGTAGAGATTTTAATGTAAATAATATGGATATCAAAATTCTTATTCAAATGCTCACAATATTGGAGAAGATACAAGAAGAATACAATGAATAACAAGATTTTAGGGAAGAAACCGTCGGAAAACACGTTGATGTATTTTGTAGATGAATTGAGGGATTTAATTGATTGAAAGGGGTATTTGGGTGTTTTCCATAATGATGACATTTTAGATATTTGACATTATTTATTTATTATATTTTGTAAGTGAAGGTCATTTGATCAAAAACATTGAAGAATGTTATTTTACCAATATTATTATTTGATTATGCTTTTTTGTTTTTCATCAAATCCCCTAATATTAAAACCCGTTGGATGAAACATTGACCCGAAATGAAATCAAACCAATTTATTCGGATCCCCAGTTCAGCATGGAGGAAATGGTGGCCAATGGCTGCCTCACCCGGCCATTTTTTCATAAGGGCCTTTGACCAAATTCTTTGTTAAAAAAAAAATAAAAAATGTAAACAAAATTTAAAGGGTCGAAAATACCCTCATTTGGAAAGAAAAGGAGGAAAATAGAGAGAAAAAAAAAGAAAAAAGTAGTCCGGATCCACGCCGCCTACAGACGACTTGGACCTGACCCACTTCAACCAAGACCGGACGCACCTCGATCAGTCGGAGATCGCCATTTTCTGGAATGTTAGACATGTTCTCTATAAATAATTACTTTGAATATGTGAAAGTTTGAATGTTTAGGATTTGAATATGAGTTAAATTCAATTTTTTATGGTTAAAATGAAAGAAAAGATCGAATTTGAGGTTGAAATGTTGAAAAAAGTGAAAAAATGAAACGAAGCTCGTCGGTACCGGAAATGGAGTTTTCCGACGAGCTCCAGCTCGTAACGGATAAGATGGGTCCGTAATGGACCATGGTCCGTTGCCATTATGATGGTCCCATTTGGCCAGGTCCGAACCCGCGGCAATGGGTCCAAATTTTTTTATTTTATTTTCTGAAATTATTTTAATTTTTATGTTAAAAAAGGTAATTAAATATGAAATAAATAATATATATATTAAGATAATTAACGAAATATTTAAAGATAAATTAAATAGAATTTTAATTTTTTCCTTTTTACTTAAATATATGTTTAGTAATTAAATATACGTTTCAAATAAAAAATCGAAATAGAGTAATTAAATATGAAATAAATAATATACATTTTAAGACAATTAAAATAATTAATTATGGAAACAATTAATATAATTAATTAAAGAAATACTTAAATGAAAAATCGAATTACATATTATTATTTTTATTCAAATAAATAATCGAAATAAAGTAATTAAATATGAAATAAATAATATAAATAATTAACGAAATATTTAAAGAATAAATTAAATTGAATAATATTTTTTTACTTAACCAATTAAGATAATTAATTAAAAAATAGTTAAATGAAAATTTGAATTAAATATTATTATTTTTATTCAAATAAATAATCGAAATAGAGTAATTAAATATGAAATAAATAATATACATAATTAACGAAATATTTAAAGAATAAATTAAATTGAATAATAATTTTTTTACTTAACCAATTAAGATAATTAATTAAAGAAATAGTAAAATGAAAAATTGAATTAAATATTATTATTTTTATTCAAATAAATAATCGAAATAGAGTAATTAAACATGAAATGAATAAATTAAATTGAATAATAATTTTTTTACTTAACCAATTAAGATAATTAATTAAAGAAATAGTAAAATGAAAAATTGAATTAAATATTATTATTTTTATTCAAATAAATAATCGAAATAGAGTAATTAAATATGAAATAAATAATATACATAATTAACGAAATATTTAAAAAATAAATTAAATTGAATAATAATTTTTTTTACTTAACCAATTAAGATAATTAATTAAAAAATAGTAAAATGAAAAATTGAATTAAATATTATTATTTTTATTCAAATAAATAATCGAAATAGAGTAATTAAATATGAAATAAATAATATATATATTCAGATAATTAACGAAATATAATTTTTAAAGAAATATTAAATAATCAAATATGTGGGAATTTTTTTGTTTAACTGTTTTAATATGTGATTGGATGAATCTATTTATTATTTTACTAATATGAAATCTAATTAGTTAAATTTGAAGATACGATATTTTATTTATAATCTCTTGTATATGATTTTAACATGTATTATTTTTGTAAGATGGAATATCATATGGACAACGATCTGAGAGTTCATTTGGGAAAAGTTACGACGTATTATAACTTTTCCAGCTATGCGATAGTGATTGAGGGGCTGGACGAGGAGCACATCGACATACTCCATCGATCGTTTTTATGGTCTTTCTATCTGTTGAAGGACGTGCAGTTCTCCGGACAGATTATTGATTCCTTATTACTCTGACTGTTTAAACCAGTCGATGGCGATCAGCTTTATTTTGCTATGAGGGACGGGAAGGTATCGAGATTCTCGATCCTTGAATTTGCCTTCATTACAGGCTTGAGATGTACTGGAGAAGAAAAGGCGAGAGCTTGTATTATACCAAATAAAAGGTTATTGGATTTATATTTTGGAGGTAAAGGGTCGGTTACACCACCACAGTTAGAGGACGCATTTAGGAGATGCGATCACATGTTAGACAAGTTGAAGATAGGATTGGTGTATATACTGGAGAGTATATTGAGGTGTTGATATCGTAGGATGTCAATTGACTTTTTTTCATTAGATGTTGTTGATGATATCGATGCTTTCAACAGTTTTCCATGGGGTCGGAGATGTTACATCGATACTCTCCACGTATTCAGGAGGTATGCCGAAATCGGAGAAGGGCGAGCACAAATATGATGTATATGGCTTTTGCATGGCTTTACAGGTAAATATTCAGCTTAACGTAATGCGTGTTAAACTTTTTTATTAAATGTTTAAGTAAAGTTTTTTTTTTCTTTTTCGCAGATGTAGGCATATGAGGCTGTCCCTACTTTGGGTAGTAAATGGGCGATCAGAAGGGAGACCAGCTGCCCACGAATGTTTCATTGGCGAGCACATGAGAAGCCATCGACTAAAGATTTGACAGCTATCCTCGACGATTCTCAGGTGAGTTATATATTTGCAATTTATATTGTACGTAAATTTACTCGGCTCAATACATGCTCGTTAACACGTTGAAATATGATATATCAGCTCGAAATTCATGTTGAGTTGGTTGTTTCGATGGAAGAGGAGGATTAAATATATGTAAGTAAATTACATGTTCCACCTACTGAAAACGATCCAGTGTTTGAATTCGTTCCGGATAGAAATAGAGTACGTTTATTTAAGATAATTATTTATTCTGACTTATAATATTCATGTGTGGATTATTAATATTAATTGTCTTCTCTGTGTAGGAGTGTCATCTAGTAGAACGACGAGCACTTCCACTTAGGAGATCTCCTTCGCCTTCACCGATGAGATCTCCGTTCCACCGATGAGATCACCTCTACCGCCATTATCACATTCTCCGAGGAGATCTCCGTCTCCCGCACCCACCCACCTCCCACGTAGATTGCCTGTACCCAATCAGACTCGTCATTCAGATGATTTCTTTGCACACATGAATGGTATTATTAAAAAGGAGCTGAGAACGATGTGACGTGATTTTACGACAGAGGTAGTAGCACTACGAGAGGAGATAGGGGTGCTGCGATGGGATTTTACGACAGAGGTAGTAGCACTACGAGATGAGATTGGAGTGTTGCGACGAGATATAGGGCGACGGAGGTGCCAAAGGGTAAGAAGCGTGCTAATGATGCGTCAAAGCTGATGGTCGGTAAGAGATCAAGATTGCCGTCACAGTATATCGTTTCCCCATACACGGTCGAGGCGAAGAGAAGGGGGTTTGTGGATGGGACGTTCCCCAATCTTTTTCGCGACGTCGACCCGGTCAGACAGAAGATGTTCGATGATTGGTTCAAATCCCTTAAGTCCGAGTAAGTATTTTATGATTTTGTTACTCTTTTTTTGTATTTTTCGTAACCTGTTTTCATTTTTCAGAGATAGCTATACCATCGGCTGTATAACCGTGCCCAACGCTAAAAAGTGGTTCGAAAATGTACTGACAACCTCAGCTTGACTCGCCGATGATATAAGTTTTTTGAGTTTCCATTTATTATGTTTATAGAAGTTGTTGGTTCATTTATTTAAACAACTCTATCTTTTTTGTTGGTGTTTTTTTGTTTATCGACTTGGCTATGGAATTGTTACGCGATGGGGTTCGGAGATACCTGAGATCTTATGACAGTCCTAATCGAGTTATCCTGAGCTCTGAGTTTGTTCGTGTCGTAGATATTAAGCATCACGAGCTCCTGAGCAAGGGAATGAATATATTCTGTCTGAGTACATGTTGGAGTGTGTGATTGGGCTACAACTGAGTGTGGAAAGTCGTGGATGGATTGTACACATATGTACATTCTAGTGATCACGAACTCACACTGTTTTTCAGTGGAGATCGTATTTGTCGATTCCACTGTGTATGTGTACGACTTTGATCATAGCTGTCTGACACAAAGTCAACTGGAGCAAATACTGAAGCCAATGGCTGTGATCGTGCCTATGATGGCTAGTCATGCGATGATTCGAGTAAATGATAGATTAGCTATTGTACGGAATATGACGACGACAAGATAAGAAAGATCGTAAGGATTTAAGACTTTTTAATTTTAAGATTTAATTTTTAGTTATATGTTTTCGAACTAATATATTCAAATAAATAATCAAAATAAGTAATTAAATATGAAATAATTATTTTTTACTTAATCAATTAATATAATTAATTAAAGAAATACATAACCAATTAAATATTTAACTGCTGCAATATATCAATTATTAAATCGTAATATTTAAATCAATCCTATTTTTTATTCAAATAAACTGTTAAAAAGAGTAATTAAACAATGTGATAAAGATTACATCTGATTTAAATTGAGAAAATTAAAAATATATTACAAATAGAGAATACATATGATTTATATAGATACTACACATCCGTCGAATCATTGTTTAGTGGGATCTGACTTGTACAAAATCGACGTGTATGTCCTGTAGCGCCGCACCTCCCGCACTGACCCGGTTGTGGAAACTCTCCTGTAGATGGTATTCTAGACGTCCGCCTACGACAACAAGTACGCGGTGGAACTTCAGGTGGTAACAAATTATTAAGTGCTACAACATAATCAGGAACTTCCCACTCGGCTTAATTTGGTAGAGGAAATATAGTTTCGGCATACGCTGCTTTCCAAAGATCAGCCATGTAATAATGACTGCATAAGCTGTGTGGTGGAAATCCTCTATACATAACCATTGCGACAATATGCGCACATGGAAAACTCTCCAACTGAAATTGTCTACACGTGCAGGTATTGTCATTCAAGTTTACAATGTATCTAACATTACGCCCGCATCTCACGGAGAATTTCGTGCAGGTATTGTCATCCTCACGATCAATCTCAACAGTATCCCAAAAATCATTCTCATTACGATCTTTTCCATCGAAAATTTCGTGTTCACCATCAGGGACATTTTTCTTCAACAAAGTTATGCAAATAGGAGTCGACTTTCGACCTTGGTTCAATTGAATTAGATGCTTTATTTACACTTCAGAAGTAACTTTCAACGGTAGAATCGAAATTGTTGAATGCTTTTGAAATAAAAATCCCAATTCCATATCTTACTGAAAGGAATCGACGTTAAGCATGTTTTGTATTTCATTGTACATTTTCGTAAACGATGTATTTTTTGTTATCGAAATAGCAGCAACCCCTTCTCCTTCAATCGTCCATTTCCATTCCCATTAGGGATGTAAACGAGCCGGGTCGAGCCGGCTGACGAGCCTAAAGTTTCGGCTCGAGCTCAACCAGGTTAAAATGGCCGAGCTTTTTTGCGAGCTCGAGCCGGGTCGAGCTCTTAATAGGCTCGGCCCGAGCTGGGCAGGCTCGTTTTCTTCCCTCTTCTTTTTTTTTTTTAATTATCCTAAGCTGCTGCCTTTGGCTGCCAAACTGCTGCGTTTTAAGCAGCCTCAAAATTTTAATTATTATTATTTTTATTATTTTTTAAAAGCTCACAGGCCGGCTCGGGCAAAGCCCGTGTCCCCAAAATGGGGCTCGACCCGAGCTTAGGCTCTGGTCTACCAAGCCCCGAGCCGAGCCGGCTCGGGCTTTTCCTAAGCCGAGTCACGGGCAGCCCGAGCCGGAGAGCCTAATTGCCATCCTAATTGTCAGCCCGTGTCCCCAAAATGGGGCTCGGCCCGAGCTTAGGCTCAGGTCTACCAAGCCCCGAGCCGGGCCTGCTCGGGCTTTTCCTAAGCCGAGTCACGGGCAGCCCGAGCCGAAGAGCCCAATTGCTATCCCTAATTCCCATTGACTATTTTCTTTCCTTTGAAATTCGTCGAAGTAACAGATTAGGACACATGCTTTTGCCATATCTGCATAACGAATTAAAAATTATCAGAACAAATTAGATTAGACGCTAGAACCTGAGGGGGGAGGTCCGTTACAGACAGTCCGGACGTCCGGTCCATAATGAACGAAGACATTTTCGTCTTCGTCTGTTACGGACTGTTTGGAGTTCCGGCATCAGATCGGTGCCGGCCTACCATTTAAAAAAATATACGACTTCAATAAAAACAAAATTAAATACTAGGAAAAGATACTTACCGAATTAAAGTGTTGAAATTTAACGAAATTGTTTTGTTGAGGTTGATAACTGATAAGTTTATGAAATTTTGAGGTTGAAGTGGATGAAAAATGAAAGACTTTTTATCGCGTTAGAGTAAATTGATGAAAAGAGTGACTTCGTTTTCAAATCTCAATTGAGAGGTGTTTGTATTTTAATTTGTAACTTAAGGATATTTTTGTCTTTTTAACAGATTTCTATTTTTGTAATTGTATAACTCATTTAAGGATTTTTTGTCTTTTATACAAGAATAAGCATTTGTGGTGAATGTCTAATTTTTTTGGTTAAAGTGTAAAATTGATTGTTTGACATGGCCAAACTTAAAATTACCCCGTTCATCAGGGCATTCCTGTTTGCACTACATTTTTCCTTCACTATTTAAGCAGCAAATTGAAAGGAAAGTACTACAGTATAAAAAAATGGCGGGAGGATAGCACCACCATGCAGATGGGGCCCACGACGGAGATTTCAGGGCGAAGGTGTGGAGCATGTCAGGTGGGCCGTACTGTCGGCCCAAACACTGGAAGCGGAACGCTACCTTTGCCATGTTTGGAATCATCCTTTTCTGTATCTGGATCGCCATGAAGTCCGCCGAGCTCGAGGTTCTTTTCGTACATGCTCTTTTCTCGTAATTGATTATTATGTTGATATATCTTTGTTATTTGATTGATTAATTTTGTGGAGCATTTCAAATCAGGATTAAGGTTTTCGTTTGGATCGATTTATATGTTTACGTTGAATCTTGTGGCTTCGTTGAATTCTTACAACTTGTTGGTTGCAATGTGGTAGCTAAATGGCTTAGGGCGTGTTTGTTAGTACTGGGTATTGAAATGCCCAACATCTTGTTTTCTTTAACACTGTCCGGTGCTAACCTGTCTAACATAATTGCTGCCATTGAAGTATTTGATGATCGAAGTTGGGATTCATATGCTACATGTTATCTTTGTAGGAAAATAAGTCACTAGTGGATGAAACCAATTGTATAAGTTTTATTCAATTACAATAGCCGACTATTGAAATTAATAACCACAAGGCAAACAATTTCAATTTATAAAAAAAATTCCGTTTCAGAATTTTCCAACGGATGAAAAAAATGTTTAGCAACACAAAATCAGAAATATAAGTTAACTGCATGCTAAAACTGTAAATAATAAATCTAGTATATAGCCCATAGTCACGAGTATATCTTAAGTACCTTAATACGCTTACAATTCCTTTCCAGTGATAAGCTCCTGGATTACTCGTGTATCTACTCAGTTTACTGACTGTGTAGGCTATATCTGGTCTAGTACAATTCATTAAGTACATTAGATTTCCGATAACTCTCGAGTATTCTACTTGAGAGATACTTTCTCTTTTGTTTTTAGACAGATGTTGACTCGTATCTATTGGTGTTCTAGCCAAGCCAGTATCATTCTTATGAAATTTTCCTAAAATTTTGTCCACATAATGTGACTGACTTAGAACAAGCCCATTTGATGTTCTTGAGATTTTCACTCCAAATATAACATCAGCTAAACCCATATCTTTCATGTCAAATCTCGAGCTTAACATATTTTTAGTGGATTCGATCATCTTATTGTCACTACCAATAATAAGTATGTCGTCAACGTAAAGACATAAGATGACATATCCATCTTTAATGTCTTTGACATAAACACATTTGTTACATTCATTGATTTTAAATCCACTCTCAATCATGACATTGTCAAATTTTTCATGTCATTATTTTGGCGCTTGTTTCAAGCCATGTAGTGATTTCACCAGTTTACAGACTTTCTTTTCCTATCCTGGTGACGAAAACCCTCAGGTTATTCCATATAAATTTCTTCTTCTAAATCTCCATTTAGAAATGCAGTTTTAACATCCGTTTGATGTACTTCAAGATTTCGCAAAGCGGCAATCGCAAGTATCATCTTAATAGATGTTATTCTCGTCACTGGAGAATACGTATCAAAATAATCAAGGCCTTCCCTTTGTTTGTAGCCTTTAATTACTAATCTGGCCTTATATTTCTCGATAGTTCCATCTGCTTTCATTTTCATGGAGGAAGATCCACTAACTCCCATGTATGATTTTGTAGTATGGAATCTATTTCACTTTCAATGGCTTCTTTCCATTGAGGTCCTTCCGAGAAATTCACTGCTTCTTGATAACTTTGAGGTTCACTTTCTAGCATATATGTTAGAAAATCAGGACCATAAGATTTTTCTGTCATTTCTCGTTTGCTGCGTCTAACCTCAGTCTCCTCTTGTAATTCTTCGTTCTGACTATTTTCAGTCATTGTCTCATATGTTCGTTTAAAGGAGCTTGCTTCCTCTTTGGATCTGTATGGAAATACTTCTTCAAAGAATGTAACATTTCTTGATTCCATTATCGTGTTTTTGTGTATGTCTAGAATCATACACAAGAAAGCGATACGCACTGCTATTATGTGCATAGTCAATGAAGACACAATCTATAGTTTTTGGGCCTATCCTTACCTTCTTTAATGGTGGAACACCTACTTTAGCAAGACACCCTCACACTCGCAAGTGTTTATAGGTAGACATTCTTCCTTTCCATAACTCATAAGGGGTCTTTTCCGATTTCTTTCGGGGCACCTTATTTAAAAGGTAATTTGCTGATAACACAGCTTCCCCCCACATGTTCTGAGGTAACCCAGAACTTACGAGCATTGTATTCATCGTCTCTTTTAAGGTACGATTTTTCCGTTCAGCAACACCATTTTGTTGCGGTGAGTATGGGGCGGTGGTTTTATGTATGATTCCGTGTTGTGCACAGAATTCAGCAAATGGTGCTTCATACTTATCACCTCGATCACTTCGCAACACCTTAATTTTCTTATTAAGTTGATTCTCAACTTCATTCTTATAGAGAATAAATTTCTCTATAGCTTCATCGTTGCTTTTAAGCAGATATATATAGCAGTATTTTGTGTTATCGT